GTCGCTGGGGGCTGCCGCGGGGTGGTTACGTGAATGGGGCGCTCCGGGGAAGGGGGGTGGCTGGGGAGGTACATTTGCTTCGATGTTACCGAGATGGTGATTCGTCATGTTCTGGTTTGAAAAGGCCTCGTACCTCACAGGGATGCAGAGGGGGGTAGTGGTCTAGAGAAGACCCCTGTCCCTGGAAAGGGGAGAACCAGTAATAGTGGATTTCCAGATGTCTCTGTCTTTCAGCCTGCTCTTTTGTGCCATAACGTGTATGTTTTAACTAAGGGCGAGGGACTCAAAAGGCTTTGAGAACGCAGCTACTTATCATTTACAAATGACAAACTGCCTGTTGTTTTCTGGTGGGCTTGGTAGGGGCTAAGGTATAGCAAAAATATCTAAAGTCCACCTTTGCTTTAAACAGATGCATTTCTATCTGCAGGAGTAAGAATTATTTCACTTATTGGCATAGCTGGACAGTTATCTATTTCTTTCTGTTACCAAGGTACTTGTAACTCTCTTGCACTGTTTATCTAAAGTTGAAATATGTTCTTTGAATCCTTGTATAAATAAAAAGGCTGGAGACTTAAATCTGTATTTACAGGGCAGTTTTATTTCTTCTCCATTTAAGCTGAGTTTGGAGTTTTCTTTCTTTTTCCTTGTTAAGGCATAGATAAAGGCCAGGTCAGGAGTCCCAAGGAATGAAAGCTTGCTTTCAGCACAAGGTTTGTGATGGGCTGATGCCAATGTTGGTGCTGCAGGTTTGCCTGCGTTCAACCCTGTGTAATCTGGAGGAACAACTGCTAGGGTTGTATGGATGTGATGTCTGTGGAAACAAGGTGAACCTGACTTGAGTCTTCGAAGCAAGTATGCTAAACGTTCTTTTTCTCATAGAGATGCACAAAAAGTCATGGCATAATAGTACAAGGAATCAGAAATACCCTTGGTATTTGTCATTACAAAGTGTTGTGCTAATTATTTACCATGGCATTCTACTAGTGCAGCTGTTGGTAGGGTTAACAGCAAGCGAAGCAGACAGCCGGCCCGTTGCAGTGACACGGATGTTTAATCTCGAGCGAGTGCCTGAGACTGAACTGACGCAGCAGAAAGGTTTGTGCTTCAGCTCTGCACTGTCCAGTTCCAGAAGTGGGTGAATGCAGGTTATGTGGTTAATGTGTCAAAAGCAGCTCATGACATATCTAAGAGAGACTTGATAACTGGAAACTACTCAAAGTGTATCTGCCTGGAAGCAAATATCACTTATATTTAATAAATTGAGTGATACCCTTGGGTGAGTAGGTATTTCTTTAGTTTCATGTCCTGCAGTTACAGCTATTTAGGCGCCACATGCACACATTTATATACATACAGACAAGTGTAGAAATGTTGGTCTTCTCCTAGGCAAAGTTGTTTGCAGACCAGTCACCTCCTTTGCCTCCTCTGTGTGATCTTAAATAATGGCCACTTACAGCTGTGTGTGTATTAAAGCTGTTTGAAAAGAATTCTGTTGGTTTGTAAAGCCACTGAACACCGTATGTTTGCAAATTCACTGCTAAGAAATTGTGACGGGGTGGGCGTGAAACAAGCTCAGCTCAGCTCCTGCTTCCCTGCAGCCACACACAGCCCTGCTTCCCCAAGAAGGGGAGGCTTCAGGGACCCTAATAGCAGCCCTTTACCTACACGGAGCTCACCAAGAAGACGGGACCAGGCTCTTCACAGCGGTGCATGGCAAGAGGACGAGAGACAGCCAGCCCAGTGTAACGGGGCTGTTGCACCGTACCCCAACAGCAGCGGCACGAAGACCAGAAACACCCCGCAGCCCCCAGCAAAATCTGGACTGAGGCACCAGACCTTTTCTAGTCAGGGGCCCCAACGGCAGCGGCACGAAGACCAGAAACACCCCAGCAGCCCCCAGCAAAATCTGGACTGAGGCACCAGACCTTTTCTAGTCAGGGGATGAGACTATTACTCTGCAGTTCAACCATCTTCTCTCAGAGGAGGCAAATGTCTTCACTGCCAGGAGATGGCATTTGCGTTTAGCTTATAATTACTCTCCATGTAAAGGTAACAACCCTGTTCCTACTGCCTCCTCTGCACAGGGACATGGTACAGGGCAGGCTGGTGGGAAGGGACAACCTTTCAGGCATGAGGGACCATCTTCAAGTCAGCTGCAGGCAGGTAACTAGTAAACATCCGTAGCCTCGTAGTGAGGCATCACAGGTGCAGAAGCAGTGATGTTTTCTGCTGCTAATGCAACAGCAACGCCGCTCTGGGCTGGTGGCACCCAGGAGCCTCCTGGACCAGTGCTGGGGTGAGCTGCAGGGAGCTGGTAAGCCAGTCTCACCCTGGTAAGTCACACCGGGCACATCTGGCAAATCCCAGAGCAATCTGCTGGGCTGCTGCTGCCCATAGGGATCAGTGGAGGGTTCATGCCACACCAAGAGTAATGCCACACTAAATAAAGAGCACGATTTTGGTAACAAGAGCAGCTGTTATGGGCAAACTCAGCACAGCGGGAACTTTTCAAAGGGAGGAGTGCTTTTGCCATTAGCCATATTCTTTTAATGGGATAATCCCTGTAAACAGATTTTAGGCCACACGGAAGCCAAGTATGACATGCAGAAGCAAATAACAGGCACTTGAGAAGGAAAACAAGACAGTGAAATATGTTTTTCTAATGGTGAGATGTGACACTGCGCAGCAGAAATGCATCTGAGGAAGTGATGGGGATCCTTGTGCGCAGCTCACACAGGACGAGGGGTGGAGGGGTTGCACGGAGCAGTCGGCTCAGCCCCAGCTCAGTGCACCTTGGGAACAGCAGCCTCTCCACCCTGGCCAGGCACAAGCCAGCACGTGGCCGCCAGCACGTGGCCACCACCACTGGCACCTGGGGCAAGGGAGGGGATGCTGGGCAGGGCAGGGGGAGTTGGGGCAGCGGGGAGCTAGAGGTGCCAGGGGCGCGGTGAAAGGGAGGAAGAGGCTCCCTCACCCACCAAAACCACTGGGCACAGCCCGGCCAAGCGGCAGCCGCAAAGGCAGCGCCCAGATGCCCCCACAGCAATAACTCAGACATTGGGAGACATGTGGAGAATTAGTTATTATGAAAGGCTGTACTGAATAGCTCGCTGCTCATCAGCCTGACATTTAAGATGAATCAAGGGGACAGCTGAAAACACCAGTATTTCTTCTAGTCTTCTTTATCATAAAGCAATTGCAATTTAACTATACAAACTAAGGCAATCACAGCCTAAACAAACTTGGTCCTTCCTTCACTTGCCACTAACAGAAGCGATTTTTTTCCCAGTAATTTCCACAAGGCTGGAAGTCAGTTGAAATCACCCATTAGGAAAGCAGGGTTGCTGTAGAAAGGCTGCTTGCAGAAAGGTGGCTGTGAGCAGCCCCTCCACGAGCAGGAAAGGCTGAGGAAGGCAGTAGCGATGCTTGACCAGAGGGCTGGGCTGCTTCTGCAGCCTTCCCCATTGCCAGGGCCTGTGGCACTGCCGCTTCCTCCGGGCAGCCCCAGGGCTGTCCCAGGCAGCAGCAGCAAGCTCCCAGCACATGGTCCCAGGAGACGTGGTGGGGCGCAGGCCAGGTGAACCACAGGGCGACACATGGGGCATCCGCCCCAGCAGACAGTGGTCAGGACCTGCCAAGGCAACACAGGGCCCCTCTTGCATCACCCCCCCCCACCTCGCAGCACCCCAGCCCCCACCTGCTCTGTGGGGCAGCCCCTCACTGCAGTCCCCCTGCCCCGGCCGCTCCCAGCAGCATGGGCTGCTCCGCTTCACCGTGGGGAGGGCAAGGGGAGGTAGGACACTAGCCCAGGAGGCCCCTCGGGGAAGGGCTGAGCTCCCCATGGCCCTTCACCATGGGAAAGCACCCTGCCAACAGGAGGTGGACAAGGATGGACTTCTGGGACACGGGCTGGGGGGGGCTTATGGTGCCAACTGCCACCACCCAAGGTAAGGCTCTCCACAGCCATTGCAGGAGTGTGGCCGTAACCCAACATCACCGCACCACAGTGCCAGGACACCCCTGCAAGTCTCCCCATGCAGCCGAGCCATCACGATGGTGAGACCTGGCACTACGCTGCTCTCCAGGATGTCTCCAGTCGGGCTGGGGGCAGCCATGACCCTCCATCTGCCACCACAGCACCGGTCATGGTAAGCTGAAGAGCTGGGGGCTGGTGGGCACAGAGCATGACATGGCTTTTGCTTGCTTCCCAGTGAGAGTGGCCATCTGGGACACTGTGGCTGCCTACATTCAACTTCAGCTCCTGCTGCACAAGGTGGGCTCGCACCCTCCACCCCCTCTCTGCCCTGGGGTGGCTCAGGAGTTGCTCCTGGGCCAGGGACTGCCATTACTCTTCCCCTCCCTGGGAAGCAGGGACCTCATCCCAGGGCTCCTGGCCAAGGGAGAAATAAGCTTTGCACAGGTGCGGTCCATATCCCAGTCACTGGAAACCCCTTGGATGCCCTGGGGCTGAGGATGCTCCTTCTGCCCTGGATCCAGCACAGCTTTTATGGAGAGCACGAGGACTTGGCAGCTCCTTTCCAAAGCTCTAGCAAGGCAGCTTCGGTGTTTTCGCTCCAGCCAGTCCTCACTTTTCTGCCTTTCTGTTTCCTCTGCTTGCAGGGCGTCCGAATTCCCACCCTCAGCTCCTTCAACGCTGTCCCTGAATGAGTCCAGGTTGGGGACAGTGACCTGACTGCGCAGAGACCTGTCTTCCGCGCAGCCAGGAACCTCGCTGACATCCACTGCCTGACAGACGACAAGGCATATGTGCCAGGTAGGATCCCCCAGGTAAAACCTTGCCACGTTGGCTGCTGCGGGGGGTGCAGGCTCCCCCGCTGCATGGATGGGGCAACTGGACATCTCATATCCCACCCCCAGGTTGGAGAGTAGCTCATGCTTCTTAAAAGCAAACTGTCTGCCGTGGAGCAGGTCCAAAAATGGACCCTTTGTGTGCAATGGGTGCAACAGCCAACACTCCTGAAAAACTGCCTGGTGGGAGACAGGGCCCTGGGACCTTCTCCACCTCTGGCTCCAGCCACAGCTCAAAGCCATGTCGCCTGTAGTGACGCATCATCCAAGAGCCTTGGGGCTGCTGGCACTCAGACACAGCCTGCTGATGGGTGGCTGCAACAATGGACACCCCACACCCCCCCCCAGGTCCTTGTCATGTGGTTTTCCAGGTGGCAAAGTACTGGAGCCCCTGTGGTATGCTCAGCTAGCTGCGGCCACCTTTGTGTCTTCGAAGAAAGTGGTGGGGCGCATCCAGGACACCATGTCCCTCTTCTCCCGCTGTATCAGAAAGGGAAAGACCATCATGCTCATCCTGAGGGACATAGGCCTGCTCCTCACTGAAGACACACGAGTGCAAATGAAATACTACCACAACTTTCTGGAAATGATGACTGGGGAGGACACCCTGGAAGAAGCTCTGTCGAGGGTAAGCGTTTTGTTTCTCCTCCACTGCTCCTCACCCTTTGACATCCCACTGCAGCACTCTTGCCAGCACCACTTGCTTTAGGCCAGCCATGACCTGGGTAGCTCCTTGGGTCAGATGGGACCTCCAGTCCTACAAGCTCTCATTCTGCCACGCTCTTGCGATGTTCAGTGCCTCAGCCACACCACTGATGCCCCAAAGCCTGAGCTTTCAGCTCAGCAAGAACCAGTCCCTGCTCAAGCATCCTAATTGTTGCCCTCACAAAAAAGCTGGGTGGTTTATAATGTGGCATCATGTCTTTGCTGGTCAGCACCTGCTCGTTAGAAGGGTGGGTTAATGGTGATGAGAGAGCACTTGTGAGGGTTTCGGAGAGGCAGTGTCATCTCATGGTGGTGGGCAGCCAGCTGCCTTGGTGCGCACAGAGGTCACACCCCAGCTTCACCTCCCCCAGCCCTGTGCTCCTCTGCTGCAGGTCCCAGTGATGCTGGACTTGGTGATACCTCGCACAGCAACCACAGCTTCCCTGATCTACTCCGACTGCATCATCGTCTTTCCAGAGTATGTGCATCCCCATAGCCCTTGGCTGACCTAGCTGGCAGCTGCTCAGGTCCCATCTGGCAGCGCTGGGCTGCCAGGGGTTGCCTGCACAGGGAGATGCTGGGGACTGCCGCCTTCAAAGCAGTTGTTCCCAACAGCCTCCTTGGCTGCTCTGCGACTATGTGTAGCATCACACAGGGCCCACGAGAGAGGGGCTGTCAGCTGTGTCCCTGGCATGCAGTCATGCCATTAGGCAGGACTCATGGGCCATGCAGTGGAATTCAGAAAACACTGTCTTTCCACCATGGCCTGGGCTGCTCCACTGGGTAACAACATTTCCTGGCATCCTGGGGGTACAGTGTGTGCTGCTTTGGAAACCAATGGCCTTCACAGCATGGCCAAAATGGCTCTGATGAGTGCTGCACACTGCAAAGGGGCTGTGGTGCCTTAAGTCACGCTGGTGTCTTCTCCTTGCACCCAGATTTGAACTGGAGCATGTCCATAAACCACCACCCAGGGACCCCTGCAAGGGCCCAAGAAATCCCACCGATGAAGGCAGGCAAAAGAAAGAAGAGCCTCTGCCACCTCCCAGGTGGGAGGAGGAAGGTAAGGCAGCAGCTGGCTCCTTTACACAGTTCAGGGAACTGATGCATGCCCGTCCAATGAGGAAAATCCCTGGTGGTGATTGCAGAAAGGCTCCTCGTCTGATCCACAGCGTCATGGCCTGGGAATAAGGATGTGCCGTGGAAATGCTGAGCTGGGTGAGAGCCAGTGCCAGGGAGGGCCCAAAAATCCCAGAAATTGTGACTGCAGGAGAACCCAAGGGCCCTCCCCACATTGCTGGGGGGCAGTGTCAGGGTGATGCTCTCCTGCTGAGCTTTCTCCCTTCCAACTCCAGGGATCCAGCCTGAACCGTGCCTCCTCGCACCGGCAGAGCCTTTCTCCAGCCAGATACCCTGAGCCCTGGGCAAAGGAAGCAACGGGGCAGAGGAATGAGTCCACGGGCAGCTAAGGCGTGTGCCAAACAGCAGGAGGGGACGCCATGCTCTTGTGCTCATGTTAGGGAGCCATCTTCCTTGGCCCCAGCACCGGCATCCCTCTGGCAGGCTGTTATTGACACAAGTAATGGCAGGTGTGCAGCAGGTCAGCTTCCCCTCCCTCCATGATGGAATATAAGCTCATCTTCGTCCCTCACAGCTGATTCCTTACTGGCTGGCATTGCGTTTTACACTGGTCCTATTAGTCCATGCCCTGCTGCTGTGATAGTCCAGGTTCATCTTTGTGCCAGCAGCAAATATCGGTCACAGGCTCCTTTTTTGCGTCATGGCCAGAAAGAAAAGTGTTAAAGAAGCTCAGGTACATGCTCAATCCACCAGGAAGCAGCTGGTACCTGCGTCCAGCCCTGCAGCACCCGCCTGGCACCAGCTGATGTGGCGTTCCCGTGGCTGAGTCCTTGGCCCCATTCCCTCCCACCCTTCACAGCTTGAATGTCTGTCCACACACTCATGCGTAAGATACTCTGCCCTGGCACCACACCAGCAATTTTACTGAAGTCCAGAAAGATTAGCGCTACCGTATCTAGCTAGCCTAGTAAATCATTTTCTGGGTATTCAAAAGATGCCTTTGTTGTAGGCGAGGGGCAACTAGATGATCTGGATGTGAGCTGGAGGTGATCAGATCAATATTGCATCCGTGCTGATGCCAGCAGCAGCCTTCCTGTGATGAAGACAGGGGTTTTAGCTTCTTCTAAGAAGCTGCTATAGGGATAGGGACTGTAGAAATCCAATTGTTTTACAAATGATCTATGGGCTCTGAAATTGCTTTTAGCTGTTTAAACACGACTCTCAGGATCCAGCAGGCACTAGGACCTGCCTGAACCCTTTATGCCCGAGACTGTTCAGAGGGGATAAATATAGCACAGCCCAGCACAGCCCGTACACATTGCTGGGGGAAGCAACCCGCACCCCAATCCCCCCAGCGTCCCGCTACACCGGGGCTGTGCCGCAGCTCGAATGCTGTGCGGAGGAGGCGATCTGGGAGCTCTGCAGCGAGGCGGTGGTGCTGGTGGTGCTGCAGCCTTGGCTGCCGATGCTTCAGCTCTGCAAGGTCACCGCCTCACTGCTCATCGGCAACGCCAGGGCAGCCTGCAACGAGGACCTGCTCACGCGAGAGGGAGTCACCTTCTGCGTTAATGTCACCAGGCAGCAGCCATTCCCCGGCCTCCAGCAGGTCCGGGGCATACGCATACCTGTGTTCGATGATCCGGCTGAAGACCTGTATCGGTATTTTGAACAGTGCAGCGATGCTATAGAAGAGGCTGTGAAGAGCGGTGGGAAGTGCTTAGTTTACTGTAAAAATGGCCGCAGCCGATCAGCTGCCATTTGCACTGCTTATCTGATGAGACACCGAAAACTCCCACTCAAGGATGCCTTTGAGGTACTGTACTTATATCCAGATTTATATTTAGACATCTTTTGGGTAAGAAACGAAATGCTTATAATGAATAGAATTATTTTGGTGCTCTCGCCTGTTTATTAGCAGTTTTATAGACATTCAACATTTGAATGAAATTCCACTGTAAGTTTTTTCACCCCCCACTTGGACAAATAAGCTTTCAACGTGAGGTTTCTGGGACAAATATAATTACAAATGCAAATAGGCTTTAAGCACTGGTAGCAAAATACGCAAAGTTGGTTGTTTTGTGAACATTTTCCCTATCATTTCCTTATTCATGGTAAGTGAAGTTAGAGACAGAGACATAAAGCAAATGAGTGAAAAGGAAGCAAGTACGTGCAGAAGCTGTTTTGCAGGATTTGCTCTTATCACCTATGTGACAGCTCAACACAGAAAAGAAACATCATCTGTTAGGCCTGCTAAATAGCCAGGGACTAGCTAGCTACAAGTAATAGCATCTCAACTTTATTAGGAAGCCCGTCCAATACATATGACTTATGCTCTATGGTCTTTTATAGAATCATAGAATCATAGAATCATAAAGGTTGGAAAAGACCTCTAAGATCATCGAGTCCAACCGTCAACCCAACACCACCATGCCCACTAAACCATGTCCCTAAGTGCCTCATCTACACGTCTTTGAAATACCTCCAGGGATGGGGACTCAACCACTTCCCTGGGCAGCCTGTTCCAATGTTTAACCACTCTTTCAGTAAAGACATTTTTCCTCACGTCCAATCTAAACCTCCCCTGGCACAACTTGAGGCCATTTCCTCTCGTCCTATCGCTTGTTACTTGGGAGAAGAGACCGACACCCACCTCGCTACAACCTCCTTTCAGGTAGTTGTAGAGAGTGATGAGGTCTCCCCTCAGCCTCCTTTTCTCCAGGCTAGTCTTTTAGTCTTCACCCATTTGGTAGGTATATCACCAAAGTCTCTAATTTAGACAACTGTTTTGCTCAGTACCAGACAGAGGCATGCAGATACGTGACCAAGTTTCACTCTATCTTAAAGAGGAACGGTGTCGTCACACTTTGTGACAGACATTCATATTTCCAGCAAATTCAATAGCTCCTTTTCATGTCTCATCCACGAATCCATTCTGTAACATGGACCATATGCCAGGAGGTCTTAGCAAGCACAGAGTGAGGTCAGCTCACCAAAATATGTTTATTATTCCTTAGCAAAATCAAAACCAAAATAAACCTTCTCAAAAGTCTAAGAGGAAGAAATCCATTTGCATGATTTCCCTTGCTTCTACAGCATCTCTCTTTTTTCCCTAGACTGTGAAGACTGCCAGACCAGTAGCAGAACCCAATGCAGGATTTTGGTCTCAGCTGCAGAGATATGAAGAAGATTTGCAGATACCAAAGCAGTCCTATCTGCTGAGCAAAGGACTTAAAAATAGCAACGTGTGAAGATGTTTTACAGAGAGTTAAGTGGCTTGCTACAGATTTAAAAAAAAAAAAAATCACTTCATATATCACCTATACATAAAATGCCTTACTCCCCAATCTGAGTTGATGGTTCATCACATTCATTCAGAGCGTTACTGTTGAAAGTGCATGGGAAAGGGGCAGATAAGCAGGGAGAAACTGCAGAAACAGAAAACGGTTGGAAGGACTGGAAACAAAGTGAAAGGCATGGTATCCTCGGCATTTATTTTTCCCCTGAATGACGCTGAATACAATAACAATGTACTGAATAAATGAATGAGTTACTACATAGGGATTTTACTCTTGGTTTTTAATTAAACTTCCCAGTGACGTCACTAGAAGACCTGATGCCAGACCAAGGAAGTTCTGACTTTGTCGCTCCCCTACTGGATCATAATTCATGTTCATGAGCTCACACAACCTTTGGTAGGAAACTGACACTGGAACTGCTTAGTCGCTGCCTGAGCTCTGCATTTTTCCTTATGTTCACCCAGAACAAAACACCGTCACAAAATTACCTAAAAATCCAGAGGACAGAATATACCAACAATGGTAAGGGCTTCAGCTCCCACGATGAAAGTTAAGTACCTTTTCAGCTTTTGAAATTATTCTCCAAAATATCAAAGGGATGATTTTTAAAAGAGTAGTTGATAGTGGAGGGGAAAAGATGACATGGGCAATCTAAAAGTAATCCTCACTCCTTTTAGCTCTCCTTACTAAGCCTAGCAAGATCTATCAGTGCCCAATTCATGCCTTAATGTGTCAGTTTACAAGTCAGCTGTATCTGTATGCAAGCAACATGGCTAAATTGTTTCTAAGACTGCTTGCAGGTTGCCCTGTGAAATTATCCACTGGGATATCAAGGAAGCTGCACAAAGCTTCTAAATGACACTACAATTATGTTTATCATAAGACGTTAAAAGTAAAGAGAAACATGAAGGTATTTTGTCAAACTGCATTAATACATTTGTAATTTAAAAGGGACAAGTTATGAAACCTGTGAACCTGCAGTGTGAAATTCCCTTCCACGTTGCTCAAAGCATCAATACGAAGTAAAGTTAGCTCATCGTCATCGGTCTAAGTGCTTACACAAGGCAAACATATGCTCCCAGCAGTGGCGTAGTTTAAGGCAGAAATTCTAATGATGGAACAATGACGGAGAATAAAGCCACTGGGGAATTACATTAATTAGACAATTCACATGCAGTAGAATTTCCCAAAGTTAAAGATTGCTCAAGTTAAAATTGGATTATTTTAAAAGCTGAAAGCATAGAAATAAAAATAAAAAATTGGGGCTATCATCTTCTTAGTTATCACAAGGCATTTTTGCACCAGATGCTTTCTCCGCTCCCAGCTGTGTTTGGTTCATTCCGTATCGTTTATCTTTGGTATGTGCATTACAACCAACAAGAAATTTGTTGCACATCTGCAGATTTGGAGGTGAGTGGTTGTTCGGGAATTTTTTGTAGCTTTTATAAATCTTGACTATCATCATACATAATATGAATTTCAGTATAACATGAGACTTCAAGCCCACAGTATATAGACTATATCCTTATTAATGGCCAGGATACCACTCATCAAAAAATTTGTTTCAGCCAATCTGTGGAATAAAGTTTATTTCCTGTCAAAAGCTAAAGCTGCTAAACAAAAGTAGAAAGCTAAACATTAATGAAAACACAATACATTTCTAACTGTGAGGCGTATTAACTTGCAGTCAGCTACAGCATATCAGTTCCGCATTTTTGGGTCAGCTGACATAGAAACAGTTGCTCTTGATTGTCAGGATACACTGCACTCTCTGGTTAAATTTTACCAGGCTTCTCAGCATGAAGAAAACCTTCATGACGCAGGATTTCACATCACAGCATTATCTGTAGAAACTTATCTACATCTGAAAACCATTCCCAGAAAACCATTCCTATTTACATTGAAAACCATACCTCCTCCTTGTACTGCTCCAAATTAAGATGAAAGATTGCAACTTGGAACCGGAAACCTGGAAGTAGTTCACTTTTTTATTTGAGTTCATAACCTACTAACGTTACAAGTGATGTAAAAGATAAGTTTAGACGTACTCCTTGTTGCTTATGACTGTCTCAGGGTTTTTGGTGTAAATGCGCTGCTGCTGAGCTGCCTGGCCTGCTGAATACGCGTATTTGTTGCAACTGTAAATTAAGAAAAAAAAAGATACAAAATAATAGATATTACACACATGTCCACAGTTTCAGATACTTAGGAAGTTACTCATTTAGGTCTGTATCAAACCCCGATAGCACATACTTCACAAAGGTGCAGAAATTGGAGGCCTATTGTTCTCATCAGTTTTGTAGTTAAGGGGAAAGAGATGGGCTCTTTGATGGGCAGCACAGACATGTCTCTCTGAACCAGAAACACTCTGGATTCCTAACTCACATGTGCTCTTCCTTGAGGCATTTCAGTCAAGTCCCTAAAGCAGAAGAGAACCTAGACCTTAATGCCTTTGTGCAAGCTGCAGTTTTTAATATAGGAATCAAGATGATGAGAAAGAAAAACAGAAGTATCTTCAGCCAACCCCTTCAGCTGTCATTCGTCATGTTGAACTTCTATTTCATACATCAGTTTTACCTGATTTTCAAGACATTTCAGGATATTTGGGACTTTGTATCAAAGTATGGTGAGTGAGATCTAAAGTCCAATGTGGCTGATGAAATATTACCATAAAACTTAAATGGCTTCAGATTAGGCAATGGAATATCAGAGGAACACTCTCACTTATTAGGTGTTTTGACATAACTTTTCTAAGATTTAATACAGCAGCAGTGAACATGCTTCTTCCTTCCATGTTATCATCCTCTCAAGCTTAGCCCGTACAGGCTCCAAGCCATTTGGGTTCTTCTGGGTAGACATCGACCTCTGCTATTTCTGACAATTTCATCCCTCTTCTTCAGAAAGAGACCTTCTGTATGTGTGAATAATTTAAGATTGAAAAAAAAAAATCCAGGCAAGGTTAAATATTGAGGCCAGAAATCTCAACTTTTCTGATTTGACGCTCAACAAGACATTTCCATAAGGAACAAGAAAAAAATCATATGCATCTAATGAGCAATTGGATATGCTTTGGGAGGGAAATGCCATTACACTTTCTGCAAATCAAATGGTGTTTGAATGTTTTAATAGTAGTGAGTATTTCAGAAAATCTTGATTATAATACACTATATTCTTTGATATACTTTTGTTTTGGCAATAGATAGTTTGCTCTTTCACTGCACATTTTCCTCACATAAATCTTAGAACCTTTGCCGACGGCAAAATATCAACAAGTGCACTGTCTGGGAGGTACAAGTATTTGGTACAGCATTCCCTGCCGTCACAAGTCTGTGACATGCCATAGCACTGAATTAATAGGTACAATTTCCTGTTTGTACTTTATATGGCTACAGATTTATACCAGGGGTTGAGGGAGAGAGAGTAGTATACAGATAGAAAATGGTATATAATTGACAGCTACTATTTCAACTGACAAATCCAAGATTACCTGTAATCCTGTTTTTTCTTCCCTTTGCATGAACAGGTCAGTAAGATCCCACCAAGCGTATAAAGAACAGATCCAGCCCAGCCTAAGTACAGAGCATCTCCTAGTTCATACCTGAAACATGAAAGATTTTATGGAAACAGCATATAACAGGATTACAAAGCCATTATTTTAGACTGAGCCATAAGGTGCACAAATCATGCAAACAAATTCTAGTCTGCACAGAAATCAGCTAACTGAAAGGTAGTTCAACGGACAACAGAGCAGAACAGATCTGGCTTTGTGCCTGTTCAGTAAAACTCTTACATATATATTTAAGTGCTCTGCCAAATTAGTGACAGTACAGAAAGTACTAAGCAACATAAAGTTAAGTAGCAATAAATACTTGCATATATTTAATAAATTGTTGATAATAAATTATAATCATATACCTTCTGTGCAGTCCACAACACTTAGTTTGCTCTTGTATTGGCTGTGCCACTGAAGTAATTTTGTCAAACTGAATGACTCGGAGCTTACTGTCTGTGTCATGAGAAAAGGCTAACCACAGAAATCAGTTTTCTATGGACACAACGCTAGATCGCCTACAAGTAGCTATTTGTATAGGGCTAGTTAGTAGTATCCTAAAGAATATTCAGCACTCCCTGTGGTTATATGGCTGAAATACATTTATGAATAGTCCCAGGCTGAAAAAGAATAGTTCCCCATTTTACTGTACAAAACTACATCCTTCAGGAAACCCCCTAGTCCAGTCCAAGAAATTCACTGATAATGAATTTGACCCAAAGACTAGACACAATTGAGCCTGGGAAAGTCTGGCAGGAGTTTCGCAAAAAGAGGCAAACAAGTTTTTATATTTGGACAAAGACTATATCCACAATACGGCTGTACCTCCGCGGTCTAAGATAACTAATATAAGAGCAAAGTAAGTGTCATGGACTGCATAGAAGGTATACTGAAACCAGATATGTGTGTTTTCTTTTCACTTGTAAACACAAAATCATTATCTAAAAGTGTCGAAGTTTCTGACTCCAGAATTAATTGCTAACAGGAAGGTTTCAGAGGTTTACACAGGTTCACTGCTCTCCGTGTTCTCAACACACATTGGAGCCACAAGGCCTCCACTGTTTTAGGTGCTTTCCAAACACGGAACAAGGAGACAATCATTATCTCAAAAAAACAGGAGTGCAAGTTGCTGGAGGAATACTAAGGAACAATCAGAGAGTGTTGCCCAGTGCATGCAATCGTCTCTGCTCACTAGCCACCTATAGACAGGAATGCTGTAGATGTCATGCCAAAGGAAAGTATATAGGAGGGATCTGCAGGAGAACTTAGGTTGCCTTCACAGCTGTATGAGAAATTCCTCTAAGAATTAGTAGAGGTTAACTTTACCAATTTGCTGAAGTCAGGCCGAAAAAATGCAATCTGAAAAAACAGATTCACTAGTCTCTTAAGAGTGAAGATCAATACTGGCCTGCAATTGAATTTAAAGCTGTCTCACAGAGTCCAAGGAACAGAAACTTCCTCAAGAGCATGTCTGGCTTTACCAATGATCAAAGTTAATTCACTAAGAACTGCTTACTGAATCGACAGTCTTAAACATGAAGTTTAGACATTAAAAAAAAGATTTCTTTAGCTACTGAATGCAAACAATCTGGTAACTGATTAACATGCATTGATGTTGAAGCCCCAAAGCTATACCAGATAACTATAAAACTCGCTAACTATCCCACTAACTGAAATTCCTTATCACCAGTTGTTTCGGTCCTCTAACGTATTTATTACCCTTCATGTAATTCTCTCAAGGGGATATAAAACAAGAACAAATATTCACAAGTGCAATTTATTTCTAAGTGCTTGTTTGAAAACACAAGGAAAACTAACAAACATTCAAAGCAACTGCTTGAAGTACTTTGATTCATAACAAAGCACTTCACCTCTGACTTCCCTGAACTGATTTTCAGGAAGAAACTTACAAAACACTCCAAATATGATCCTAGCAACTAAAGATTTACAGTTTACTGATCTAAAAATTATATACTCGGTAGAGGTACTGGCAAATTATAAATGTCCCCTTTCCCCCAAACCAGCTCTCTCATGTTCCACAGACAATATATTATGTTTCCCTCTCCCTTTTTCCCCACTCTCTGAAGGAGAGGCCCAGTCACCTCCACCCTTGTTTCTCATTGCTAAATCTATTGACCCAGATAAGGTGCCATAAGCAGGCATTTGGGTTTGAAGACTGTGCCTTTTATATCAGACAAGAATAAGGGCTTTTATACTTCAAAACTTGTTTGTGCGTAACTGTATGAGCTGATAGTCCCACAAACTTTGCCTCATTTTAATTCATAAGACAAACAAACGTTGAGCTGTTACTATATAGTGAAAAATATTTTTTTACTTCTTTAAGCCAAGCAGCACGCTTCAATGACATTTCTCAGCTATCTGCAGGTAACTAGTACGCAGTTCAAGCTGGTTTCTGTATGTTTTTTCATTTGCTTCTACATCTGAGGCATTGTATTCTAGCCACAGCTAGAATTTTGTACCTCTTTTGGTCTAAATGCCGAAGAAAATTAAGACTTTTACCTCTTCTTCTTCATAGCATTGAGATGTGCACTTAATTAAGTCTCACAAGAGAATGTAAACACAGTACAGAAACCCCTCAGATGTGGGGTTGATATTCCCCACACATTCCCTAAACCTTCCAGAAAAGAACTCTCCTCCCTCCCCACCAACATCTCTGAGGTGAAAAGATTCCCTGAAGACAAATTTTTCCTCCTGTAGGACTGGATAGCAGGATCCATCCACGTTCCGAAACTCCGGAGCAGCTGAGGTTAGTGCAGCTGTCTGCAACACATGATGGAGTTTGGTATGACAGATCTATTAACCTACTTGGTTCCAGCGTACAATGGGTCAAAAAATTGAGCAGTAACCATCGCAGCATACCAAGAAACGGCCACCATGGAGCAGAGACCTACCAGAAAAAGTTTAAAAAGCACATAAGTGAATGATTCCTTTAATGGTGGTAACAACTTTAAACTAAGAACAAGTATTCATTTTATTTAGTCTAGCTGTGAAAGCAATAGAAAGTATTGATAGCATTCTCATTTCAGCCTCGATATTACCTCCTAAAATAAAGAGAAATCCTCCTGTGACAGCAAACTTCATTTTTCCATCTTCATCGCTCAACCCAACGTTTGTGCACTTCAAACCAAGCAATGAGAGTACTGTAGCTATGAATCCCAAAAGGATGGAAGCAATCATCAAGGCACGGCATGCCTGAATATGAACTGAGTAAGACAGAAAAAGAGAAAACAAATCGGGATCTATACAGAAATTAAATTAATCTTGTGCTGAAAAAATGAAAGTGATTAGAGGGAGTGACAAAATTAACAGGAGCAGTAAGGAGTGAATCTTGTCCAACTTTGTTACTTGGTTCAGAAAAGCATCAGAACCCTGGAGTGTTTAGCCTTGAAGTCAATCAAATTTCAGAGTTGAACTACACTTACACTTTATAAGCTCAGTAAATCCTCTTGGGGCTTTAGTAAACCCTGAAAAATTATAGCAAGCCCTTCATAGCTTACATCTTTAAGTCCTGTGAAAACGCATAGCAGTACATATGGTCATTTACAGGAGCAGAAATAAGTCTCCTACTCACAAGTCCTGGTGACTTAATCATGGAATCATAGAATAGTTTGGGTTGGAAGGGACCTCTAAAGGTCATCTAGTCCAACACCCCTGCCGTCGGGGTTGGATCTTCAACTAAATCAGGTTGCTCAGAGCCCCGTCCAGCCTGACCTTGAATGTTTCCAGGGATGGGGCATCCACCACCT